GGAACTCACTTGGTAGCCCAGGCTGGCCTCGAACTCACAGAGATCCGCCTGGCTCTGCCTCCCGAGTGCTGGGATTAAAGGCGTGCGCCACCACGGCCTGGCTGGATAAAACCTTTTTAATATTATGTAATATATATCCAGAACAGAAAACCTGGAAACTCAGCAAGAATAAATAGGCAAAGAATTAGGATACTCATGGGAACATTGTATTTTTTGAATATACCTCTATGCCATCAAATGATCATCAATTCCAGGAGCTGAACAACAATCCACTGGCAAGATGCCTCATTTTTCTAATCTTGTAACCTCGGATGTTGGCATGAGCCTATCCTGGCTAAAGTGCCTGTATGTGTCATACAAGCAGTTTTGCCTGCATTTCCCATAGGCACATTTGGTTACATGGTAGTTATTCTTTGTAAGTAGTTATAAGTGCTTCAGGGAGGGAGCAAGCCCAGAAATAAAACCCACAACCAAAACAGACTTATAGTTGGGTAGCATTTGATCCCTTCCCCAAGATCAAAGTAAAATGCACAACCAAAGGAAAAAGCCATAGTGATTTTTAAGACCCAAGACCAAGCACCTGTGCCATGGCAGCCCAACTCCCACCCAGGTAGAAAAAGCCAACGAAGTAAAAATAAACATGTTTTTTTTATTGTGTCCACGAAAACAAAGCCAGGGTGGCCTTTGGTTAATACACCTTGAAAAGGTAACAACAAACAGGCATGCATGACAACTACCAACTACCACTGCCACCACCAAGTTTTCCTCTAAAGAAGTGAGGTCTTATCTCCTGGAGCTCTAAGGGTCACAGGCAATAGAGCTAGGAGGCTCCAGAGGAAGGTACATGTGGGCCCACTGGGCTGTGGAAGGCCAGCATTTGCTGCCTTCTTGGCAGGAGGAGGTGGGAGATAAGCACTGCCCTAGGCTAGGCCCTGAACCCCTTAACTAGAACACACAAAAAGCCCCCCCCCCACCCTACCCCCAGCAAACATTGCTAAGGCAATCAGCCAAAACTCCTGTTAAGAGCTGCTCTGAAACCAATACCCTCAGGGATCCATCCAGAAAGGGTTGCCTTCTTCAGCTTGTATGGAATAGTAAACAAAGAGCAGAAAGGCAGCAAAGACAAGGAAGAGTAATAGCTGGCCCCAGAGTGGGACCTGTCGATCCTGGCCCAGAGCAGCAACAGGGGCCTGCTTTTCTGGCCTGATGGCACGTCGGGTAAGCCAGGAAGAGGGAGAAGAAGAAGAGGAGGACACAGAAGAGGTGGAGGATGTAGGATAATAGGATAAGCCCAGGGAACTCCTGGAGACATTGGAAATGGGGCGGTAGTGTGCGATGCTCTGGTAGGCACTGTCTCGGCCATAGATGGAACGTTCCCTGTGGCAAAAGAAGTGAACAGGTGGGCAGGAGAGCCTGAGCCCAAAACCTGTCCCTGTCCCTATGTGTGTTCATTACTCACCTATCCTTGCCCTCCTCTTCTGAAGAAGAGAAAATATCATCACGCACCTGCAGGACAGTAGGGATTAGGTACTTGGGGAGGGGGGTTTCCCCATAAATATCTCTGGCCAGCCTACTCTAATCACATCCTAGAGGCCAGACCATTGCCCCCTCCCTCCAGAACCATTCTGGGTCTATGGCCTTTTTTTCTGTGGGGCCTTGCCACTCAGTGACTATGCCTGTTGACTCTGTCCCAGCATCCTTTTATCCCCCAGTATTCTCAGAAGGCTTAAACCTAGATCCCAGACTAGAGTGCAGGGAATGCTACATGTGCTCTGATCAAAAGTTTGTGGGTTGGAGAGATGGCTGGGTACTTGAGTTCAATGTCCAGCACTCATCAGGCAGTTCACAACTGCCTGTAGCTCCAGTTCTAAGGGGAATCTGACACCTTTGGCCTCTGCATGTGCCAGCACTCATGCATACTACCACACACGCATAAATATAATTAAAGTAGTTATTTTTTTTTTGTTTTTCAACACAGGGTTTCTCTTTGTAACTCTGGCTGTCCTAGAACTCACTCTGTAGACCAAGCTGGCCTCAAGCTCATAGAGATCCGCCTACCTCTGTCTCTCAAGTGCTAGGATTAAAGATGTGTGCCCAGCAAAGTAATTAAATCTTAAAAAAAAAAAAAGCCCAAAACCTAAAAACATTTTGTGTGCTGCTGGAGATGGAACCACAGGTTAAGTGGTACTCTACTGAGCTACATGTCCACCCACAAATCTAATAGTTTTGGAGGCCCCAAAGTAGAACTTTGATTCAACAGCTGTATGCCGACCCTAACCCTGTTTAAAGGCCTAAGGACCACTCTCTGCTCCTAATATCTCCTTGGACTTATCCAGACCTAGCTAGGATGCCCCGAGACTACACTATGCCTGCCAGCCAACTCACCTGGTGATGAAAGGTGTGAGTATCTGCAAGTGAGGTCCCCGGCTGGCGGAAGCTCTTGGACATGCCCACAGACTCGGGCTCCCCATATGTCCTGGTAGTCAAATAGCTTTCCTCATAGTAGTCGTCATTATAGTCTTGGGAAGGAAAACAGTGGTAGAGGAGACAGTGGTATCCCTTACCTGGCCTCATGGCCCTAAATTCTGTGCAAGTTCCACCACTCTAGAGCCACTGAGAACTGGTGGGAGTGGGTCAAGTTTGAGGTTTCCCTGTGCTCAAATCCCTGAAGCATGGGGTAAAGATATAAGTGCCCACCCCACACCTGTCTTACCCTTGCTCTGGTAAAGTAAGGCGTCCTCTTTTTTTGGCAGATCGTACATGTCTGAGTCCACAGAGGCTGAATCCAAGTCTGCATTTAAGGGGGGGGAAGGTACAGACCATTAGCTCTCCAGGCTTCCCCCTACTCCCTCAGTTGCTTCAGCCACACCCTCCCTCCCCAAGCCTTGTGCCCCCAAGCAGCTCAGCCGGGCTCTGCAGCAGAGGCCTCACCTGAGAACCGATAAGAGAATGAAGAGGATGATGAGTTGGGGGGCGAGAGCCTCCGTCTCTGGGTCTCATACTCGAAGATTTTCTTTTCGTAGAGCTTGCGAGTGGAGCCTGGCCAGACACAGGGTGCGAGGCGGTCAGGGGGTGCGAGGTAAGCACCCCAAGAGCGCCGGGGAACACGGGGAGGGGGCGAAGAGGTGGGGAGAACGCTCAGGGAAGAGCGCGGGAAAGCGGGGCCCAGGAGAGATTCTGCGCGCCACCGCCTGTCGCGTACCCACGATAGGCCCATGAGGTATGTTGTACTGCCGGAGCACAGCGGCCAGCTCAGTGTCGGACAAGATCGCATAGTCGTCCATGGCAGACACGTCCTGCACCGGGAAGCGGTGTTGAACGTAAGGGGTGGCCCGGGCCTATGGACAAGAAACGGACAGCTCCGAGCGTGGCAGAGGAAGCGCCAACGACTCAGAAGCTGCTGTGGTCGCGTCACGCCTCTGTCACGTTTGCGTCACAGCCGCGGCTACGCGGGTTGCGCACGCTCCTCAGGGCAGGCTCAAACCTGCCTGAACGGCCGGTACAGACCGGTCTGGCAGTGGGAACAGGCGGGGCTGGCGAACGGAAACGTCACACTTGTGTGGTATTGGCTAGAACAGGAAGAGGGCGGGGCCAGCAGGAGAGCCGGAGGGGCAGGCAAGGAGTCTATTTCTGAGAGCCCGGCTGGTGAGGGGCGGAGTTAGAGAGTGTGTTAGAGCTAAACATACTAGAGGGGCGGGGAAGTGCTCATTCTCAGCTGGCTAAAACCGGCCTGTGGTTGGGAGACTGTAAGATCTCACTTACCTTTGTCACTGGCTTCACACTGATTTTATTTCCTAGTGCTCTAGCGCCTAGGGTCCTCAGCCGCAGTCTGTTCCACAGCAATGCAAAGAGTCCAATCCTGAGAGCGAACCCTTCAAGAACGCCTGGTGCTGCTGCGAGCTCTTTGTGCCCACTAACGCCGAGAAACGGCTGCCATTCAGGGCTCTCATCACCTAACATAGCCACCCGCAGACCCTTGCCCATCCCACCCATCTCCGCTGGTCTTCTCAGTCTCCATGGCTCTGCTCACCTGCACCAGCTCATTCCCACCGTCTTCTCTGCCCCCTAGTTCCATCCGGGAGGAAATGGGGCAAGCAACTGGGCCAGGAGGCTGCCAGCACTCCAGGACCAAGCAGCCTTCCAAAGGCCCAGGGCATGCCAATGGGCATAATCAGAGGGCACCCACCTTGTGATGCGTGTAGACGGGTACACCTTGTGCCTGCCAACTCACAGTTCCTCCACCTGGGCCCCTGAGGAATTCTGGGGGTGAGTTCTCACTTAGCAGAATAGAATAGCCCCTAAACTTGGTGTGACCTTGGAGGCCATCAGGGTGCAAAACCTAGAAGCAAACCTTGGGGATCGGCTGAGGCTTACTAAGCATCTGTATCAGACAAAGATTGTCTGGAAGAGTGACCATTACATTCTACACAAAGTCATTTGGGACTAGGTAGGCTGCCCCTTATTGGACAGACCTAGAAGGAGGGGTACATGCAGAAAAGGTGCCTGGGATGCCTGATTTCTTAAATCAGTGGTTCTCAACCTTCCTAATGCTGTGACCCTTTAATACAGTTCCTCAGGTTGTGATGACCCCCCACAACTATAAAATTATTTTCATTGCTATTTCACAACTATAATTTTGCTATTGTTATGAACCTTAATGTAAATATTTTTGGAGAAAAAGATTGTTAAAGGGATCGAGACCCACAGATTGAGAACCATTGTCTTAAATGTTAGTGATAGCAAGTACTCTGGTCAGTTCTAGACTGGCCTGATGGGTACTTTGGTGAAGGTCACAGGCCAATTCTCTACGGAAGTTTAAAGAAGGCAATGGAGATGGAGCCCCATTTTGACCACATACAAAGTTGTTAATGAAGAGTTACTGTTGGATGGATTTCAAAGACAGTGCCCTCATTTGTCCCTGGAAATGGAGTTGTATGAATCCCTGGAAACGATACTGTCTTACGGAAAGACAGGAGAACCTTGGCCCGGAGTATATGTAAGTGAGAGACAGGGTAGGGCAGAGAGAGACATTCTGCCCTTTCAGAGGCTGCTTCATGAAATGTTTTTAGTTTTGGCAAAATCAGTTTTCCCAGCATCCCCCTCCCCCTGTGCTGGCCCCTCTCCCAGAGGCTTCTGCATACAGAGTGGTTGCTCAGTACTCCCCTATGCCCCCCCATACAGAATCAAGCTGCTTCCTTATGAGGTCAAGGAATTTTAGGTTTGCCTTCTCCCTAAGGAGCACCCTCTGCACCTGCCTCAGCACTCTGTCTCTTAATCCTCCCACTACTCCACTATAAAATTCTATCATAGATGTTACCAGGAAGCTGAACTGTGGTTTTCTTGCACATACTTGGAGCTTAAGTCTAGCCCCATTGCAGTGTAGCTTCCTTCTCTATCATTCAGCAGACAAATCAAGATCCCAGAGTCGAAAGAGGCTTTTGCAATAGCCCCAAGTTGAGTGATTAATGGAAATAGTCTCCCCAGGAAGTAGCTGGTCACCTAGGTGCTGCAAAAGTATGGCCTCATACCTCATCCAGGATTTGTCAGAGGGGCTAGAAGGATTTGTGCAGGGCATTCTGTGGATCTCTGGTAAGTTCTTCCTCAGAAGGAGTAGCCCTTGGCAGGTATGGCTAATGGGGAAAAATCTTGGAAGTGACCCACTGTAAGAATAAAAAAAAATGTTGGTCCTGTAATCCCACTCAGCACTTAGGATTTTGAGGCAGAAGAATTGAAAGTTCAAGGCCTGCATGAGCTACAAGGTGAATTCAAGACAACCTGGGTAACATAGTGAGACCATGCCTCAAAATCTCAAAAGCAAAAGAAAAATGCAGGCTTGGGATATAATTATCTTGGTGGTAGATTACTTGGCCGACATGTATTAAATTCTGGATTCAATCCAGAAACACCCCCTCCCCCAGTTGTAAGGAAAAATCTATATGAAAACATTTATTCAACACAAGAAGAAAATTCTTTGTTTGTTTTTGTTTTTCAAGAGAGGATTTCTCTGTGTAGCCCTGGCTGTCCTGGATCTCACTCTGTAGACCAGGCTGGCCTCAAACTCAGGGATCTTCCTGCCTCTGCCTCCCAAGTGCTGGGACTAAAGGCGTGTGCCACCACCGACTGGCAAGAAAATGTCTTTTTAACTTATTATGCTTTTTATCAAAGAACAATTAATCCTGAATTAACTAATCTTAATAGTTGATAGACCTGAAAGAAGTTGGAGGCCCTAACTTCTTGTGCTTCTTGAGTGTGTGTGTACTGGGAGGAGCAGTAGAGTTCAAATGTAGTGTGTGTGTGTGTGTGTGTGTGTGTGTGAAATGTAGCTACACACTCACTACCTCCCCTATAGTTCTTCCATCTGCCTAATCGTTGATCTGATTATCATGCCTGTGGGTAAATGGGTTTCTCCTCTGAAAAGACAATCATTTCCATGAATTCTAGTGCAGCCACCTCATGAATCTGAAGTCAAGCCACCAATTTAGTAAATGATGAATTCATTGGCTTCCCTAGTAGAGGTCTCCAGCTGGACAGAACAGTGAGAGACCTTGATCCTAATTGGGAAGCCAGAGTGTGAAATATCATTGCCAGCAGAGCCAACAAAGGTAGTAATGGATGCATAGTGCCTGGAGGGGGGCCCAGTACTTTGCTATTCAAGTTAAAATATTGGTTACTGAATTGACTCTGCAGATGTGATCAAACTCCCCCCCACTATTTTTCCTATTCCTTCCTTCCTCTCCTTCTTTCTTACCTTCTACTTTTTCCTTCCTCCCTTTTACTATGAAGCATGTGCTACCTTCTCTTTTTGATAATATAGAGTAGGAAAGCAAATCAAATATGTCTGCTATTCCAGCACTTGGGAGGCAGAATTAGGGGGTTGCCACTTCAAAGCCCAGTCTGGGTGCTACATAGTGATTTCCAGATCAGCCAAGCTACAGAGTGAGATCTAGTCTACACACACCCCAGAATATATTGTAGGTGGTAAGGGAAATCTCATTTGCAATATCTATTTCAATTTTGTGTGTATGTGCGCACTGGCATGATGCAAATGTGGCTCATATTGGGTTCGCAGGCAAAATGATAAAATACCAAAATGTTAAAATGGCATTGCTTTATGTGTCCTTTCCCTAGGAAGTGACATTTGAGTTGAATCTGAAGCTACCAGGAAATGGGCACATAGAAGAGGAAGAGAAAGCATGACAATATTAGATAATGGCTGTGCCCACTAAGTTCATAGATACTTGGCACGTTGTACCACACTGTACACTCCCAGGCTTTGAGAGTGCACCAGATTGCTTTGAGAATTCGGCGTATTTCTGCTGTGTGCTCCCAGGCAACAGCTGCACCTAGCAGGGACCAAATGTTAGCTAGGGGAGCTTGTTCATTACGGGGCTCAGGGACCCATTGGGGCCTTAGGAATGGTTGGTGCTCACTACAATTACCTGTTGCATCTCTTCCCATGGAACAAGACCTGACCTGTGTGGCCAACCCAGGCTTGGGCAGAGACAGAAGGCTGTGACTGTAGTAGGTAACTCCCCAAAATAGGTGGCTTTGGATCAGAGCCTCCATTCCAGCCAGTAAGCACTTGGCTCCTCTGTACTCATATACTCCCCTATACTCTAGCCTATTAAAGGTTCTGCCTAAACATTGGTTTTGCAGACCCTGTTCTGGAGGTGAACCCCCCCCCCTCCCTGGAAGCCTGGTGGCCCTCATGGAGCTGTGAGCTCATTCTAGGGGGCGGCGTCGCCAGTCAGCAGGGGCACTTGAGCTCCTGCCCCCCCCCCACCCCCCACCCCGGCTCCCGGGCGATTTTACCAATTAAGGCTTTCTTGCCGGGCCAGGCTTGGCCGGCCCCGCGCGGGGCGGACGTGGGGCGGGGATGCGGCCAACAAGAAGGCGGGCTGCAGCGGCACATTCGCGTGGAGGCGCGCAGCGCGCAGTGGACGCCAGCAGAGCTCTGAGGCTTCCGGCTCGAGTGCGGAGAGCTGGGCGCCACCCCGCGGTTGCAGGGACAGCAGGTGAGGGCTCCGTGGCCAGCTCCATGCCGGATAGTGGTTGGATAGTGAGCGTGCCGCTTGCGAGCTGGGTAGATGTCTGGAAAGTAGGCAGAGAGGTCGAGGCCAGGTGCAGCTTGGGTGTGGATACAGGTCCCAGGCATCGCCTTAGTGTCCAGAGGTAGCTTTGCATAGTTTACCACACACTTATGTCTGTGCTCAGGAATCTGGGAGCTTGAGACCATTGGGTTTCCTGAAAGAGGGGATGGTATCTGAGCGTTTGGCAGGAGATGGGTACAGGCGTGGGTACCCATAAACTGGTTATTTGCGTGCCTATCTGGGAAAGAAAGGTCTTTTGAGACTAGTACCTTGATTGGGATAAGGGTGAATGGCAACTTGGAAGAACACTTTCCAGCCAATGTCAAGGGTGGATATGAGAGATGATGAGTCCCCTGCTGGTTTGGGCACAAGGAGCCGATTCCGGGGCTGTGGCAGGGTTTAGCCAGCTAGATTTCAAGCCTGGATCTTGGGTCCTCTCTCATATTGGTTCTG